TTGTGTTTGATACTACAAAATCGTATTTCTATCTTCCTGAAATGTTTTTTTTTTGAGAAAATCCTGATGAAACTATTAAACAATGACAAAAAGTTGATTTATTGAAAGTTTTTTTTTCTCTATGGTTGTTAATCTATGGTGGATTGTGATAGCAACCTTAATATTTCGTCCCCTAGAAAGCTTTGCTTTTTTTTGCAGATTGTACAATTGAATGGTACAAATTGGTACAAAGTTCGACAAAAAGAATGAATCATCTTTATGTCAGAGACATTATCAGACTGCCTAAGTGACTATACTTGAGATATGGCTGCCCAGATTCCTTGAAGTAGCTAGTAAAATCCTAGCATTCTATTGGCCTCAAATTTAGTGCTATGATTACCTGATTTAGGTAGCATTAATTGTGTACTGCAAATGTGATTGACTATATATTTCTTTTGAATGTGCTAGAGGTGTACAGTGTTTCTAATGACTGTATTAGCACTACAACAGGTAAAACACCGCAACCATAGTACTAATGGCACTTGATGTTTAATATCTAGTTCATATTTCATAGCTTACAGACACAGACCATTTACATGTAATATTATCAGCAATCACAATAAATCTATATAGATAGTATGAAGATCACTTTAAAAAATGAATCTTTCATTCAGCTAGTCAATTCATTTGAAGCAACTTTAGACAATTCTTTCAGTATCTTAAAAAATGTTTACCTGAAGTGCAGAGAAAACTGTGCATTCTACATCAGAGTCCGAAGTCTCTGAGGCACTGATATCATATTTTTGGTTCTTTCAAATCCTTTTGTTTTGAGATATATTATTTCCATTTGCAGATTAAATATTTGGTAGTTTTGGCATCCTCCGCTCTTGTTTTGGCACTATTAAAATCCCCTGAAAAAAAATAGTTCAGCTACAGCAAATATCCAAACTCCAACTTTCCAAATTGTTACAATCCTAAATACTTCTGAAGATATGATTGCTTACCCTTGCCACCCAATGAACATAATTCATATATTCCCCAGTATTCATCAGGATCATCCTAACCATCTATTAACTTTTTCATTCCTCTACCAACATTCTACTACACCATTTTCTTTGTCCTTCATTTTCAACCCTACAACCAGAACATATACTATAATGCTTCAAGTAAACATGAAAATTACTCTTATTCATTCATCTCCAGGAAACCATCTTTGGACGCTCTTTGTTTTACAATCAAATAATGCACGTTCAGTACAAAATGAGGAGATAAATAAGTAAATCAGATTCTTTCAAATTAGTTTAAAAACTACTTTTTGATTATGGTCTACACTCGATATGTTTTTCTAATTATTTCTTTTAACATCTCAATAACATAGTGCTGAAAAGTGATTTTTCATAATATAAAAAATATATACCTACGTCGAAAGCTATATATTAAAAATACTAATACACTTTCAATTCCAAGAGAAATAAGATGAATGTAATCAACAAATATAGTGGAGAAAATATTTCGACAAGAATGAATTTACACATTTAACAGGTTGTTAGAAATGACTTAATTTAAGTGTAGGTATTACCCATAAGCCCTATGCTTCCAAAATTACTTATTTTGATAATTCTGTGGTTACCAACATAAATGAGTCTGCAAGTATGGAACAAATAATGAACCAATAACTTTTGAAATTGTTTAGCTTTATACTGTGATGAATTACATCCTGGTACAATAGGTTCAACATTGTGTTAAAATACAGTAAATCCTCTTCTACAACTTGTGTGAGTCACCCTGTATGACGATTGATACCAAAGATATTTGATTCATTAGTAGCATCACATATGTTGAAAAACATTACATTTACCATTCAAAATAGATCCATTATGGTGTAATTCAGAAATGTCTTGCACTGAATTATATGAAGCGCTTTGGCTTTCACTGCACGAACTCAAACACAAATGACAAAAAACAGAAGCATTATTACAAATTATATTATTAATCATTTACTCTTATAAAAATTATTATTACTTGAAGAAGAGATCACGGAACCGTGGAACGGTTGTAAGACAGGCATCAAGATCCAGATGACACGTTATGACAGCTGCAAGTCAGTTAAGGAAAGAATTTTAAATTGATTTCCTTTTAACATTGTCCTGTAAGAGGACAGTCGCCTTAAATCATGACAATTATTACATGTATTTCAAAAAAGTATATTCACTTACCTTCAGAACCACATCAAATAAAAAATGGGAATGAGTCATCACAGATCAAACATTTTCGCAGTGCCTCACATCCAGGCGCTGATTTGTATTTTGTATTGACATCGCAAAATAAGTTTTTATCAAAACTTAAATGACTGGAAATAAAAAACATAATGTGATAACCTTTTCACTTTCATAAATATTCCTGTCTGTAGAGTATCTTCTCACCTGTTACTTCACCAACCCGGGATTTTCTTTTCTTATCTCTTACAATTTTTGAAATTCAGCAAACTTAACGCGCTCAGACCCGTCGATTATGTTTTCAAGGGGGACACAAGTTTGGCAAAAAATCACGTTAGCACGTGCAGCCCCCTTATAATGATATAAAATTAGTGTACTTTAGTTCAGTAGTTTTGAGGATTTATTGATTTACAGCTTATATAAAACTAATACATCATCATTAGTGGAGATCAATACATTTGGCAGCAAAGTAATTTTAAAACGAAGAATGAACTGACCCGTTAGGCAATTAAATGTTGAAAATGGCCACCATGACTCTCCATGCAATAATAAAGATTTTGCTCAAAATGTTGCCGCACATTTGAGGAGTAATTTGATTACACTCATTCTCAATTCTTTGTCGCAGGTCTTCTAATGATGTTGGCTGAGTAGCATAGATTTTGCTTTTTAAATGACCCCACATAAAGAAATCCAAAGGTGATAAATCTGGCGATCTTGGGGGCCATTCAATGGCACCTCTTCTACCAATCCATCCATCTGGAAACGTCATCTAAATATTGTTGAACACGTAATGCGTAATATGGTGGGGCACCATCCTGTTGGAACATCAACCTATTCGCAATGTACCGCCAATTATTCTGATTTTCAATTATGGCTGTTAATGAAGGATCTATGGCGTCTTCCAGTAATTCCAAATACATTTCACCGGTCAAATTTCCAGGTAAGAAAAAAGGACCAACTAAATGACCGCCAAAAATACCAGCAAAAACATTTAATTTTTGTGGCTGCTGTGTATGAACCTCATGATAAATTCGGACCAATATCGGCAGTTACGACGATTTACTATGCCATTTAAGAGAAAGGAACATTCAGGTTGATTCTCAGTATACATTCCGTTTCAATTCCGTTACCGTTCCGTAAATTATTGAAATTAAATATTCGCCTTCGCTTAAAGCAGGCTATTGCGTGTGTATGCACATTATCCGTAAGGTATACTGTGTATACAATCACATTATACGAAACGTTTACGAAACTGATACAGAATGGAAACGGAATATATAGTGAGAATCAACCTTTCGTCGGAAAAGCAAGTGTCGAATAGAAAATGTTCTACGTTTATAATTTGTTCACTCGTATCTTCACAAAATTGTAATCGCCGATCAAAATCGTTTTCCGTAAGTTCTTGTACCAGGTGAATTTTATACGGATGAAAACTATGGGCCTTTAGAATCCGTTGGACAGTACGTCGACTAACACCACACACAGTCTCCAATTTGCGGGTACTTAACGTAGGCTCTACATAAACTTGCCCTAACCCCCACTTCTATTGCTTCGATCCTTATGGGATTTTCAATGTTGCGTTTTTTATTGGCGACTGACCCAGTTTCCCGAAGTTTAGCTAAAAGTTCTAGAACATATTTTCGATGCACGTTACTGTTCTCATTAAATATTTTTGCTGTTCTATTAGCGCACTGATTATTTCCGAAAAATATTTCGATAATTTCAACTCTATCTGCTGTGGAATATACCATGGTTAATTTATGTAATAAAGCGTTACAAGTTATTTTAGCAACAAAGTTTGGCCAAACAATCGCAAACTATGTACTAAATTCCTCCTTAAAATAAGTACGAGATATTTCCTTATCTTTCTTCCAGAAATAACTTTTATGCCACAAAAACAACGCTCCAATAGCTATTTTCAACAACAAAATGATAAACAACCCATGGGCGTAGTGAAGAAAAGCATTTACTTATTAAGTAAATTATTTTAGTTAAATTTCTTCTGAAAGTAGTACAAACTAATCTGATGTACCTATTAAAGTCTACTTTTTTTTTGAAATAATTTATTTAAACACAATAATACAAAATGTATAACCAGTTTTAACAATGATTCCCCAATCAGTGTTTGCAAACACTGGCCCCGAGAATAACAAGACAATAATCAATATCTATGAACTACAGGTACACTGCAATGTTGCTCATAACTTCAACAAATAAATTCATTAACATTTTTAAAATCTTTCAATTCTCTAACAAAACTTCTATAGTTATTTGAATCTTTTATGCAATGAGGTAAATTATTAAATTTTTTAATTGCGTCTGTGATCGGATTTTTTAAACCTATATTAGTTCTTGTGGAAATTTGATAAACATTATTTAGTGATCTTGTTTGGTGTTAATGCACGTTATGGTAGAACCTAACTTTAAGCTTTAAATCAATAAATTTTCAAAACTACTGAACTGAAGCTCATGTATTTTACATTATTATAAAGGGAATTGAAAGACCTTTAAAATAAGGTATCACTCAACCTCCCTTTCCTTTTAAGATTTTAGGGTTGGTGTCACCCCCGCCCAGGGGGCTGCACGTGTTAACGTGATTTTTTGCCAAACTTGTGTCCCCATCGAAAACAAAATCGACGGGTCTGAGCGTTTTTCCAAAAAAAAAACTGAGCTGCCAGTAAATGCGTCTGTTTCGTTTTCGATGCGCCACCCTGTCTATTTGAGACAAGAAACCAATGGAATTAACATTAACACATATTATTAGCACGCACATCCTCACTAGGTACCTATGCACTGCCGTTTCCTTCCAGATGTAGTCTATAATATACAAGTTACTGCTTAGATCTCCAATAAAATGCCATCTCTGAGGCACTTGATACATGACATCATACTAACTAAAGGCGCATTTCCACTGCGGCAACATTTAGGCAACATGTAGCATGCGACAATGACGCATGCTACACTCAGTCTTTCAATTGGAACAACATGAAGCAACATGTGGCATGCGACAATGCCGCATGCCACATGTTGACCACTGTTTTCCAGACGCATGCGTCAGCTTTCTACAAGATTCAGCGTGTCGAACGATGTCGGCTTTTATCCGATAGCCATCGGTTCGGTGCTACATGTAGTTTGCGACATGGAGTGGACTATAGAGAAAACAACTTTGTTTATTGAAGATTATCACAATTCTCCAGAATTATGGAATAATAAAATTGCTGCTTATAAAGACAACAGACTTAAAAATGATAAGTTAAAACAAATAGCGACGAAATACGAATGTACCGTGATTGAAGTGAAAAATAAAATCAAAAATCTACGTTCCGCGTTCCATCGTGAAAGAAAAAAGCTACAGTCAAAGAAAAGTGGCTCATCTCCTCTCACGAAAGGCCAATGGTTTGCGTTTGAGCTTTTGAGTTTTTTACTAGACGTCGATAAACATAGACGAACAACATCAACGGCCAGCGACAACGGAGAGGAATCTGCGGTGAGTTTTTTTTGCACTAAAATATAGGGTCGCACCAGCACCAAATCGATCTTTTTATAGCAAAACTATAGGTACATAATTTTTTACATTACATTTTCAACATTTGCACATGTATAGTTTTCTATAAAAATCCCGATTTGGTTTCTAGTGAGACTACAATCGTAAATATTTTCAAGAAAACATATATTCAATTACAATAGGTATTTATGTTTGTACTAATAGGTATAAAGCTTAAGCATAAAAATCCTGCCAAGGCACACGCCCTTCATCTGATGTAAAAAATCTCATAAATTCTTTTCTAACTTCTTTAGCTTCAAAAGTTGACCTTCGAGCTCTATGTTGTAAATTCAGCACGCCATTGTCGCCTTGGGTAGTAACCCTCCATGATCCTGGGATAATGTTTCCATCTTGTGTTTCATGATCAAATGATCCCTGAGGACAGTATAGTACTATAGTGGTCTCGACGTTTTACTTCTTCTCAAAAAGTTATGAAGATAAATGCATGTTGTTGTAATGATTTCAGCATTCTCCACATGCACCATAAGTGGTTTCCTAAAGACACGAAACACTGATGCTAGCAATCCAAAAGAATTTTCCACTACTCTGCGAGCGCGTGAATGTCTATAGTTATAGACCCTCTCACAGGAGCCTTTGTCATGGTAGCCGCTGAAAGGTTTCAAGATGTGTTCCTGTAAAGGGAACGCATCATCCGTCAATATAACATAAGGTGATAATCTATTGCTCCCAGGAAGTGACTCCGGAGCCGGTAATGCTAGATTATTATTTGCCAACTTTTTATAAAATATTGTTTCTCGAAATACACCTCCGTCAGATATCCTGCCTTGACAACCAATATTGGCGTATATAAAATTATAGTCGGCATCTGTAACTGCCATCAAAACAATGCTAAAAGTTCCTTTGTAATTATAAAATAAGCTGCCACTGTTTTTTGGGTTTTGCAAGACGATGTGTTTCCCATCACACGCTCCAATACAGTGTGGGTAATTCCAGAGTACTTCAAAATCCCTTGCTATCTTTTTCCATCCATCTTCAGTGTCGGGAATCTGAAAAAAATAAAATCCTATTATCTATTTCATATAATGTTTATATACAGAATTCGAAAAAATTACTAGAACGGCTAATTATGTTATACAAAAGTTGTTTGACTTTCAACAATCTACGCATCCAAAATAAAGTCGAATATACGAAGTGGCTGATAAAGTTGCGAAGCAATAAATTTTGATTTTTTTGAGATAAATACTCGATTTATTGTTGCAGAATGAAGATGATATTTCGGTCTCCAACACACAAGATACCGAAGCAGAAGTCAGTAATATAGAGGGTCACAGAAGCTGTGAAGAGAGAAGGGACATAGTTATTGCCCCTAAGAAGAAGACAGAGAAAAAGAAGCGTTTTATATCTCCTTCCGATCGCGAGGAAGAAGCATATAATATTCTGAAAAGTTCATGCCAAAGAGATGAGTTTTCAACGTATGGAGAGCATGTAGGAAATGAACTGCGGCATCTAAGCCCTAGAGCACAAACGATTGCAAAGCACTTGATCAACAATATATTATATGACGCAAGTATGGGCAAATTTGATGACCAAACTAGCACTCGCACTTCCACAGCTTGTGAAACCAACGAAAGTAATTACAATCAACCATGCTCCGTGGCTTCTGCTAGTTCTCACCAATCAGGATTTTCTGATCACAGCAATATCTATGTACTGCCAACTGACACCTTGAGCAGTGAACCACCCTCCGTGTCATCTGCTTGTTTGCGCCAATCAACCTCTTCTGAATCCAGCAATATTTATGTACAGCCATCTGACAACTTTGGAAACAATAAAGAACAAGATCTTTCGACTTTCACAGTACTCTCTGAGTTTTTAGTTTCTAAGCCCTAAACTAATATATTATATAAACGCTATTTTTACGAACAATAAACTATTTAAAAATAAGTCATTGTAATTTTACTTACCCTAACAAAATCATGTAAGACATCGATTAGAGCTTTGCACACCTCTGGAATAATTCGTGAAATGCTTGGTACAGATATCCGGAACAGATACATAAGTGATGCATAGCTGTCGCCGGTAGAAAAATATCTTAATGTTACTAATAACCTAATACGAGTTGGTATCGCTTCACGAAAGTTGGTATCAGATTTTCTTATAATCGGTGAGATCTTCTCTAATAGGTATTCAAAATCTTCTTGACTCATTCGAGTAAAATTTCGAAATAAAGCTTGATCGTCAGCAATCAATTTATGTCATTCTGTGCTTCTTGACCACCAACATATAATTGTCTCCTCCACCACCTTGGCTTCCTTCTTTTCTTTTTTCTATTCAAAGCTATTACCAGATATGCAGCCGCCGCAACCGTTTGTAAAGACATGATGCCGCAAACTGAAGTTGCCTCTATTGAATTGATTAAGACGCATGCTACACTCATGTACGACAAAGCACATGCCACATAGGGAAACAAAATCCGCATGCGGCATTAATAGACTTTTGGACAACATTGTCGAACGTCAACAAGAGGCGACACTAGGAAACATGTAGCATGCCGCATGTCGTTCACTGTTGCCTCAGTGGAATTGCGCCTTAACACATCATGACGTTAAGGCAACACGTACAGCTACAAACGAGTTCATGACTAGTGTGAATCAGCTAATTCTAAGTCAACGTCTTGACGAAAAACCAGCATAATATCAAAAAAAAACAGCATAAAGTTAAAAAAAAAATCGGTATAATGTCACTTTTAAAGTTATGTGATACCCCTGCGTTTTACAGTGCTCGCCAACGTTTCAGAACCGAACATGGCCGATACGTAGTACCATCCGCCACTGGGAATCTTCTTGACGTGGTGCATTTGATTAAATCAAAAGTATTTCTATTCGATTCCTTATGCCGTGGCCTATTAAATGAGTGTCCACACCTACAGCATCTTATTACCAAGTGCTACATCAAGCCCTGCAGGGTTTCCAGTCCCAAAGGGGCCTACAACCAGTTCTAGCGCCTACCCGACGACCGGGAGTGTATCAGCCCCATGTAGGTTACAATTCGTACACGCTGTGTGCTCTAAAGTGCATTTTAAATCATAAATAGAACCAATAGGGACCTTAATGTCATTTTTGCCCACTGTTAGGGACCTTACAGGGCCCACATCACCAGGAGGGTTGTGTGACAATTCCCCAAGACATCGAGATATTGAACAACGGCTTTTCAATCGTGATAAGGGCACTACGTGCCTATTGCAACCAGTGCCTGGATTCGCAACGTTGACGTGTTGTTTTTCCCCTGTAGATCCCAGGACGTATTAATACTTTCTCAGACCGCGTTCCTGACGATCGCCAACCCGTCGATCGGGAGCTACCGGTAGCTCAAAAAGGCAATTCTGGTGGCTCACAACATATTTTAATAAGGTGTGAAAATCATAGAAGCTTTCGTAAATTGTGTAAATTCTCATAATAAACACAAGTAGCGACAACACTGCGGTGAGCGATCGGTTCGAGAACGATCTCGATTACTTTGAACGGAATAAATACGCAAGGCGCCACGACAGTGCGCTCAGTTTAAAACTAAACGGCACAAAGTCCAGCGGTTGGGTAGAGTTGGCCTGCAATTAAAAATATTATGAGCAGTAGTAACAAGATGAACACATACCATTTCCATTCGGAATGGGAAGAACGATATTTCTTTACAGAAGTTAAAGGTAAAAATGTCTGTTTTTTTATGTAATACATGTGTTTACGTTGCTAAAAAATTGAGAGGCACTATAAAACTGTACATTCGAATTTTGAAAAATCATTCCCGTTACGATCTGCAACCAGAACGGAAAAACTGAGGCATTTAAAAAATCAATTAATTAGACAACAGGCAATGTTTTTAAAAACAGTCAACAAAAGTAAGAAAACAACTGAAGTATCATACCGGGTACCAAGTACCTTATGAAGATGGGAAAATTTTAAAACAGGCGTTTTTAAAGATGGAAATTCATTATTTACCAACTTTAGAAATAAAGTCGAGAAAATGTCTGCCAGTAAATCTATGCAACTTTTTGCTAATACTGTGATGAGACGAGTAGAAGTAGTGAGCAACGATAGTTTTACAGTTAAGAAATGACGTCAATAGCTGTGCTTATTTTTCACTGCAGCTGGAGTTATCCACAGATGTTGTTGATACCTCTCAGATGGCCGTGTTCGTTAGGATAGTTTTTAGGGATTTTACGATTAAAGAAGATCTTTTGAAGTTTATTTCACTAAAAGTACAGACTACTGGGCAGGACTTGTTTGCTTCTTTTAAAAATAGATTTCTTCTGAGAAAATTCCAATATCGAAAATGATAAGCCTGACAACCGATGGCGCTCCAGCTATGGTGGGTCGTGATAAGGGTCTCGTGGGGTTAAGTCGTAAAGATGAAAGTTTTCCTCAATTTCTCTGTTACCACTGTATTATCCATCAGCAAGCATTATGTGGACATTTTCTAAAACTAAACAACGTTATGAAACTGGTAGTAAAAATTGTAAACAAGATTATAGCTCAAGCGTTACAAAGAAGATTATTCAAAACCTTGGCCGATGAAATCGACTATCAATACGGGGAACTACTTCTTCACTCTAAAGCCCGATGCTTAAGTAGAGGGCGAGTGCTGAAACGTTTTAATGATATCATATCTACCATAGTTCAATTTTTCAAACAAGGTGATGAACTTATATTACTCGGTTTTAATTATTTTGTTTGATGCGAGTGCCACTGCGATGTCCATTGTGTATGCCTTTCGTTTATTTTCACCAATCAGTAGTATGTCTTATCGATTATGGCTGGCTTGTCCCAGTACATTCTCGGGTACTGGGTATGGTGAATATTTATAATATGGCGCGGTTGACTTGATGAGATTATAATTTTGAACTAACGTCGAGTGTATTGTTTTAGCTACTTGATTATTATTATTTACAATTGACAACAGCGGTCCAGAAAAATTAGAGCTAATAAGACCAGGGGTTCGATTTATGGAAGGGATGCAAAGGTTAAACTCGTAAGTTAAATTAGTGGCCTTTTTTGTGTTGAAAACAATACTAGACTTGTTTAATGTGAATGACATCAGAAAAAAGTTTTCCAAAGAAACACTGACAGCCTTTGTGGATTGTAAATATTTCATCTAACTTTGGCGCGAGGGTTACTTGGCATTTCCGCAATCTGACCTTGTAGCAAAAGTGGGCCTATTATTTTCTGGGACACGCTCTTGAATAATTCTAGAGAGGTAATAAGCGTTTACCACAAATTTGAAAAAAATTGTATTTTAATGAAGTTTTTTCGGTGTTGTGAATTACGTATTTTCTGACCTCACCGCGTGTTTACGTTTTTTCTCGAAGAAGTTGAGTTCTAGATTAATCATTGATTATAGTTCCGATATTCTAAATTTGGGATAGTACCCTGTTCCACAGTAGTTTTTGTTGCCAGGTGATGCACAGAGAAATAGACAGACATTGATACCTTTCGTTTTCCGTATTAGAATATACTATAATGAATGAAATGATTTAAATCAAATGTTAAGCATTGAGGTAGCTCTAGACCATTGATCTCCAAAGTGGTCTATATCGACCCCTAGGGGTCTATGACAACCTGCAAGGGGTCTACGACAGCGAAAAAAAATTTGGGGGTCCATGAAATGAATATGGGGGTCCACGATAGTGGATCTCAACACGTACACTGATAGTACCTCTTTACTTACATCATACTATCTTATAATATCAAAACATATACATTATTTATAAAAGTACCTATGAAGTAAAAAATTTATTATATGTATACGTTTATAAAATTGAGTAAGTTGTAGGATGTTGGAATTCGCTTTGTGGTCGCAATACATTTTGAACTTGTAAAAACCTGAGAGTCGCAGTCTCAGAGCTTCGCTACCTTGCACTGACTTGTTCAATTCGTCACTCTATAAATACGAATGTGGGACAAATACGTTTATTGGTTTCCTGAATCTTGAAAAGGAAAGTGCTAAGAAAATATTTTAAAAAATAAAAAAAGGTAGTATATCACACAAATTATAGTGAGTCAGTGTTATTTTGTTTGAGAGTGCTGGAGAAACGTAAGTACATTATTTTTTATTAAATTTTAGTTTTGTACTCGTAGTTAGCAAAGATAGATAAATTACGCCAATCATGACTAGTTATTAGTAGTTAAATATTCAATCATGCAAAATTACACGAGTACTCCTCAATATGTTAGTTTCTTTTTGATAGTTTTAGCAATCGGTAATATGATTACAGTGCAATCTCCGTAATTCGAGCTAATTGTTGCAAGAAGATGTTCGAATCATGGAATGTTTTCGGAAAAATCAAAAAATATTTTTAATATACAGCTGCTGGCTTTTCTGTCTTATTTAAATAATTTATTTTTGCCCATAGATGACTGATGCCATGTCCGAATCTAAAAAGAAATGTAGACAGTACAGTGTTGATTATATGAAATTTGGATTCATTCCATCATTGCCGGACAAACAATCGCCTATGTGCCTTTTATGCAACAAAGTTATGGGCAATCACGCTATGAAACCATCTAAACTGCAAGATCATCTGAGAAGATGCCACCCTGATAAAACAGAGAAAGATTTGAAATACTTTCAAACACTCAAAGATGAATTTCAGAAGAGACCTACACTGGACAGAATGTTCGCTTCGACGTCACAAAGAAATGATGATGGTTTGCGGGCGTCTTACAATATCTCGTTACTTATAGCAAAATCCGAAAAACCGCATACTATCGGAGATAAGATAATTTTGCCAGCCGTTGAAGAGGTTTCAAAAACTGTTTTACACAAACCTGCATCTGATATCATTAAAAGAATTTCCTTAAGCAACAATACTGTTGAAAGACGTATTGATGAAATGAGTTCTGATATTGAAAGCTTCTTATGTAATTACTTGCAAACGACCCATTTCTCTATACAACTGGACGAGTCAACTTTACCTGATAATGCAGCATTATTATTGGCATATGTTCGTTTTATTATGAATCAAGAAACCTACGAATAACTGCTCTTCACAAGAACTTTGATAACCGACACTAAAGATGAATCAATATTTCATGTTTTGAAGGATTACTTCATATATCAAATATAATATCAGTAGCTACAGATGGAGCACCTGCCATGGTTGGACGTTATCGTGGATTTATAAGCTATTTAAAACAAAATGTGTCAGGGGTGTTAGCAATACATGGCGTCATCCATCGACAACATTTAGTTGCTAAAAATTTGAGTGTTAGATTGCATGAATCACTTCATTTAGTCATTGATGCAGTAAACCGAATCCGAAGCAACGCGTTGAATACGCTGTTATTTGCGCAGTTGTGTGAAGAAAATGACGAACACTTTCATCAATTACTCCTTCACAGTGAAGTACGCTGGCTGTCGAAAGGCTTATGTTTGACAAGATTTTTTGCACTTTTTGAGACTATTTTAGAACTTCTGGATACTAAAG